ATGTCTTGTACTTCCAGTAGCTGTTGCCTCTCGTGTGTGCTGCTGGAGAAGGTTAAGGAGGTGTGTAGAGACACTGTCCCTAAAGACAAGCAGAACCAACACCTCTCTGTCTTTGACCTGCAGGAGGCTGACGGATCGCCAGAGAGCCTTGATGATGAGCTACGCTGAGGACGAGGCAGATGTGGATGGCACAGTGAACGGGGTCACAAATACAGCATCGGGTGAGTGAGGGGAGTGAGTGCTCCTTTGGAGATACTTCTAGTCTGATGTTGCACAAAGCAAGGAGGGAGCCTCTTTCCAGAAAGCTTCACTCAAATACTTACTGGGCAGATGTGTGCGTGACTAGGGTGTGGGTTTTGAGGTACTGGGGGTCCTGACAGGTTGCGGTGAGTCGCTGTGGTGATGAATGCCTTCCACTCCCTGCTTCTGCCCCTGTGCCAGAAGTAACTTGTCTTAGTAGCAGAGGTAGAAAAAGAATGTGCTTCAGGCCGGTTTTCTGTGTGAGCTAACCCATTGTGTTTCTGACTGAAGTGGGAACGTTTCTCCTTGAAAGCTGGAGGGGAGTACTGCTGTCAAAGCTGCTCTAAGCCATACCTGTGCACATGGGGGAACCTGGGATAGGAATGTTCAGTGGTGCTGAGTCAGTAGACAGTGTCAGTGTGATGGAGGGAGCAACAACAGTGGGGAGCTTTGCAAACCTGCTCTTTCGGCTCTGGATCAAAAATTTTGATTCAGCAATTACGTGTTTTCAGTTTCAGGGGTGAGTTCCCTGGCATCAGTGGCAGCTAAAGGCAAAACACAGTAGAACAGTAAGGCAAGAGCTTTGTCTTTTGTTACTGGAAAACAGTTTTTTCTTTGCTTATATTGGAACAGTGAACTTGTTAAAGCTGGTTGTCGTCTTGTGCTTGAAACTAAAAAGGGTGTGTTTGACTGTGTACAGCCAGGGAAAGGTGAGAGTCTTTCAAAGCTGCTAAATGATCCCAGGAACTTGAGTCCTCTCTACTACACATGCCAGAGCCTGAAGAATATATGCTGAAGTTCAGGATACTGGAAGGCAGTATCTGCCAAATATTTGTCAATGTTATGTTTTATAGTGCTTCCGTAACACAGAAGTTACGTCTTTTCTGCTGAGGGTAAACATTAAAGGTCAGCCTTGGGGTAGGGGAGAGATCTCCAAGCACAGAATGTGCGTTACAGCTTTTTAAAGACGTTTCTGTGCCAAAGGTAAAAAATGTTCTCAGTTTTTTATAATTAAGCAGCAACATGGATTACGAACAATGCCAGTAGTTTGCAATATAGAGACAGGCTGTTGCTCAGAGCATATCCTTGCTTTGGGAAGCAGAAACATGATGAGTGGCTGGAAGTGTGTTCTGCCACAGGCCTCGATGTTTCATACCATTGCATCAGTCAGCTCGGGAGCAGCTGGGGGAGGATGGGGAGGACTGGACTTTGTTCTCTGTGCGTGAAGAAAGCTTGAGGAGGATTTGGGGGTCCTGTTATTGACAGTTTTATTGCCAGATAAAAGGAGATTAGCAAAGAGGTCTCCTTTGTTTTTGCTGTAGCCACTTCTGGAGGGACAGACTTTTCAGGACCTGTTTATACAGGAAAATTATGCTTGTTGCTGCCAGTAAGATTCTTTATCTGGGTGGTTGTTCTGAAATACTTGTAGCCTTTTTCAATCTAGCTTGAGTTTTTCTCCTTGATACTGTTTGTCTGAGCATTGGTTGAAATTACATGAAGCAGGGTCCCAGTATGATTTTGCACCACTTTGCTCTAAAAGATCATGATATGACCATGAAACAGGAAGAGAGGTTGTTCCAGGGACACCAATACAGCTTTTTTTTTGTCTGTAAAGTCATGGCTGGCTGTGGTAAAGTTAACTTGTTTTTAGTGGCAGATTCTCAATTCCAAGTGCTTGTTTCTGAAGCCTGTGGGGTCCCTGGCTTGACTCTGCAGCGTGAGAATTCCCTCACTGGCTGGGGAGAGGGGAAGGGAATGGTGTTAAATGGGCTCATGGTCTTTTCCACTTCTGGGGTCTGGGCCTGACAGTGCTTTCACTGCAAGTGGCCCAGTACTGTGGCTCGCTGCCAGGTGCAGCGTGCAGGCAAAACCAGCTGCCTTGACCATTCCCTGTCTAAAATAACCTGCTCACTTCGTCAGAGGTGGTGGCTACAGGTGGGAGATTTATCTGACTGCAGCCCTTTGCTGTTTGTGTCCAGGTGGCAGGGCCACGGCTAGCGCTGACGCAGGCGGGGATAGGCCTGAGGCTGAGGAGAACAAGGAGGGATTCCTTTCCAAACTTAAGAAAATGTTTAGCTCCTGACACCCTATCTGAGGTAGGAGGCCTCTTGTGTTTTATTGTTGTCTTGCCCACACGCTGAGCAGAATTTGCACTTCTTGGGAGGTAGAAGCAGCAAAAGCACAGCGTTGCTTCTCACTTAGCCTCAGGCCTTCCAGCCACTGGTGTGAAAAGCCCTAGCTGTTCCCTGTGACCTGGAGCAAAAAGCCAGGGACTAAATTGCATTGTTTCTACAGCAAAAAGCAGCAAAAATGTTGGGCATGCCTTCAGGGAGGTTGCTGGCCTCCCCTGCAGCTCTGCTTCCTTATCCACTCAGTGGCTGTACCCGACTCAAAGCACCGAGGGTGTTACTGGCCTGGTAAAGCTGGGACTGGGCAGTTCTGTTGCCCGCACACAGCCTGGGCTTGCTGGGAGGCGCAGGTGGGCTACAGGGCCTCTGGTGCTGGTGTGCTTAGGCTGGACTCACCCTGCCATGGGCTTACGGCACCCTGGAAGGAATTGGTCCTTGTTGTAAAGCACCTCAAAGCCTGTGCCACACAAATAAGCAGTGTTAGAACTCAGGGCACCATTTCAGTGGTGCTGGCCTGCTCTGAGGGAGTGCTGTGGACTTGAAATCTTCTCTGGCAGATGCTGGTGTCTTGGATTGCAGGGGCTCAGCTTCCTGTCACTGCAGGCTTCAAACTCATCTGCTCTGTGTGGCTGACAGAGCGTGACACAGGGCAGGGGGAAGTGCTCTCCCGCCTGCACTTGTGCCTTAGGCCAACTCGCTCAGGAAACAGATGTCTCTCTTGCCTCAACTGCAGGGAAACGTTCTACTGGAAACTAAGAGCCAACAGCAGCAGATCATCTTTGCAGTTGGGAATGAAAGTTTCTGGCAGCGGGCTCCGGAGAGTGAAGGATGTCAGTCAGCAGCACAGTGTGGATCCCAGCGGGGGAGAGGCTACAGACCACCGAGGCACCAACAAGCATCGTGATACAAAACCCACCCACCGTCCCAGGCACTGGTCATGAAGGGAAAGGCCAGCTTTGCAGATTCGTGGCGCTCTCTTGAGGTTGCTCCACAGTCCCTACTGCTGCTAGAAGCTTATTTGGTAAAAAATTAAAGTTGAAATTTTATTTAGAATCGGAAACAGTAGAAATGTGAAATAAAAATTGTCCTCCCAGCACAGAGTGTTGGGTGGAGTCCAGGATGGCTGCTGCTCACTCAGGTGCCCTGTGCTTGGCGAACTTAGCACTGCTTATCTTCTCCCAGGAGACTTGGTGGGTCAGTGGGTTTTAGCCCTGTGCTCATGACAGCTCTCACTGTCCTGCACACCTCTGGGAGAGATCTCCCTGGGGCTGGATCTTCCTGCCCAGCTGCCTGGCTCCCTCTGCAGCCCTAGGATTTCTTAGTCCTGATGATTTCCTCCACAAAAAGCAGCAGTGGAACCTGTGCTTTGCCACAGGTTTCCCTTACCCCCTCAAATTAACTGAAGTTACAATACAAATGCTGTCGCTTCTGAATGGGTACAAATTTATCACCAAGCCCTTTGTCAGTTTGGGACAAAGCCTTTTATTACATTAGCGCAACACCCGTAGCATAAATGATTGGTCATTGTTCCTACATGTGTGAGAATACAAGTGAAGTGGATCACTCCTTCCAAGTGGAGTTGAGCTCTTGCAGTGTTTTCATGGTTACTGTAGCCTGCTGTTGTTAGTTATACTGTGCAGGTACCATCAGCCCACATACTAATCAACCAGCTAAACAAAGACATGTCATAGTCTTGCCCTTCTTAATTTGCTGAAATAAAGCACGTGTTGCCTCCTGATTAAACTGTCTGTAAAGTGATTCTGTATCCATGTAAATAAGATTGACTTCATAAAGATATTTAACATGTGCTGTGCCTTGCTGCCTTGTCTACTCTCCCAGCCTTGTCTGTCACCCCCCTTCCCTCCCCCTGTAACAGGCAGGTCTCAGACAAGGAGCAGAGAGGGCTGGATGTCCTGAGCAGCTCTGGGGGCTGTGAGGGCCTTCAAGTGCAAACAGAGACAGCCCCATCCCGGAGCTGGTACCTGAGCAGTACCTAAAGCATACAGTGTGGCAGGGGAAGGAGTCTAAGTGAGTCTTAAATCCTAGGGTGGGCGGCAACTGAAATTAGGTCTAGGCCAGGCCACAGCTCTGCGCTGTCTGATTTGAGGAATTGGGCTCAGCTTTTGTTACACTGCCCACGTCACTGTGCAGTCCCCCGTGGCCAGGGAGATGCTAACGCAGCACTCTGCCTGCTGCCTCGGCTACAGTGCCTGAGCCTGGGCTGTGGGGACTCCACCCCCTGGGGACACACACACCCACACCCTGTTTTGTGGGTGCTCAGGAGCCCATGCTGGCCGTGGGTACCTGCAGGGGCCAGAGGCACAAGGTGCTCAGCCCACGGCCTGGTGCCGTGTGTCAGAGCTGCCAGGGAAAGAAAGTGATCCTGAGAAAACAACCCACCACCACCCTATAGCTGTGAAAACACCCAGAATCACTACACACACCCTTCCCTGGAGACAGTGTGCAAAGGTAGCGCTTCTCCCACCATCTGCCAGCAGCTGTGCAGCCTTTCCTCCCGTGCTGCCCTGAATTGTCTCACCCGCATGGCAGGAGAGCCCTGGAGCACACGCAGGTACCAAGGCTCTGCCCGGCCCCGCAGGGTCAGCCCTTCACCAGGGCACCACGGGAGGCAGTGGGGCTCAGCGCAGCCCCCTTTGGCCCCCCATTCCTGCCCCCTGCTGCAGCAGCTCGGGCAGCAGAGGAGGGAGGGCAGGGTCAGAAGGCGGCCTTGTTGTCTGCCACCCACTGAGAGAAGGTGCGGGCCTTGGGGTTGAGTTTCATGGTCAGGTCCACGTTGCGGTCTGGCTTCAGCGCATAGAAGCGGAACATGGCGGCCAGTTCCTTGGCCCCAGGGAAGTCATGTTTCTCATAGTCCTCTGGGGAGATCTGCAAAAAAATTTAGGGGAAAAAAAAGTGTTGTCATAGGTCTGTTGGGGTATTTCCCTTAGAGCGTGCAGGGATGTTGAAGAGGGCTGTATTAGAGCCATGTTATCTCCACTGGTGAGGAGGCTCTGCTGCTGTGAAAGTTATTTCGGTCAGGGTGGTGTAAAGGAAGCAGCAGCCCTGCGGTGTGAGGACAAGGCAGAGGAAAGTCTGTGCCTGAGCACGCTGGTGGGAAGCAGGATGCAGCAGAGCCCTGTCGGACAGAGCTGACCCTCTTCCTCCAGTGCAGCATGAGAAGGGGTCATGGTGGAGAAATCACACTGCAGAGATGGCAAGGAGCTTGTTCTGGATCTTCCCAAAGCCACAGCCATGGGCAGGGCAGTGACAGTGAGCACCCAGTCTGGCAGAGGACAGCCCACCCTGCCTCGGGCCAGCGCCTGGCTCTGGCACACAACACGCTCTCCCCAGCAGCAGAGGCCCAAAGCAGCTACAAGGGAGCCCTTCCCTGCACCAGGGTACAAGCCATGGCTGAGGGGTTCTAGAAACACAGTCTTGGGGGGTTCAGGAGGGCTCTGGAGAGCCTGAGCAACACAGGCTGCCACCTGGCCCCCCAGCACTTCCTTCCCTGCCTGAATCAAAGGGTTGACCACTGTTTCCGCACTGCGCTGGGGCACCGGGAAGAGATTCTTATTTGTCCCTGGGAGAGCAGAACCTGCAGGAACCATCAGAGGTGCTTTGTTTCTACTGAAACGTGCTTTGTTCTCAGAGCAGAGTGCCACTGCACCCCTCCTCTGTTGCATCAGCCACCCAAGGGGAGCAGGACAGCCAAAGCACAAACAAAAAGTAGCCCTGGACTACGGAGAGGCCAAGAATGCTGCAAGGGTGACACAGCAAGGCCCTCGGGGCAGACGTGCTGAAGGGAGTGGCAACAGCAGACCTGCTCTGTAGGTGCCCAGCCCTGCCAGCGACTGCCCAGCCCCTGGCTCTGCTGGAGACCTCCCGCTTCAACCACCCCCAGAGCCAGGCACCGACCCACCCGTGTGCTCCAAGAGCACGAGTTTCCTCGTCCACGGTACCAACAAGGCAGTTTTGGTGCCAACGTGTGCTCCAGCCGCACGCTGGGGCAGCGGAACTAATCCTGTACACTGAGCTACAAGGGCCCTCCGCCCCAACAGCTCCCCACCTTGCTATTAGGGCAGAGCAGTGTTTGTTTTGCCACTGCTGTGTGTGCTTGGCCCCCTTGCAGGCCCCCCCACTATTCCAGACCAATGGGAGAGGCTGGGTGTGCGGCTCCCCAGGCCACCCACCCACAGCCGGCAGCAGCCCAGCCTGGGCAGGGACCTACAGAGTGTGAAGCTGTTGGGAAGATGCAAGGATCAGCTCTCCACCACCTCAAGGGAGGTTGCAGGACCCTCAGCTTCCCCTCACCTCAAGAATACCAAAACACCAAGGGACGCTTCCTACCTTGCTGGGTTCCACGGTCTTGCCTGTCTGCTGGGAGAGGACAGTGGCATACTCCGCCTCGGTGAGCTTGCCGGTGCTGAGCCCGATCACTTGGCCTATGTACTCCTCTGGGGACTTCAGCAGGCAACGCACAACAGGCCCAATGTCCTCCACCGCCATCCCATCCATGGGGGTGTCCCCCATGGGCAGCTCTGCATGGGATAGAGACTGTGATGTCAGACAGAGTGCAGCTCTCCTTGAGGGAGCCCAGCTCTGAGGAGGTGAAGCTGGAGTTTTGGGCACCCAGCCTCTGAACATGAGGTGAGGAAGAGCCGAGAGCACCTATCAGCGTGGCAAGCCACGAGAGCACCTCCAGGGCTGGGCTCCTGAGCAGCACTGTGACTCGCCTGGATCTGCAGCCCCACCTCTGACCCCCAACATCCCAACTGCAGGGAGCTGGGCTGTCCAGAGACACTCTGGGATCTGCAGAACAGCCCTCAGCACCAGAAACAGGACCAGGATCCCACTTAATTCTTGTAGGTCACCAAACAGGTCTGAAAGACCATAATGCAGCTGCAACTCACTGCGGGCAAGCTGGCACAGGCCTTTCTTCCCCATCAGTCTGCAGCCCTGGGTGGCTCCTCTACCCCTCAGTGAGCCTCTGCACAGTGGGAGCAGATGAGAACTACAGGACAGTGACCTGGAGAGAAAGAAGTCACCTCTTACCCAGGACAAAGGTATCTCCCTGCGGGACCTTCTGCGGCTTGAAGATGGAGAGGAAGTTCTCGAAGTAGAACGGCAGTCGGATGGTTGTGGTGGGAACACCAACCTTCTGGAAGTACTCCTCCACCACACCTTTGCCGTCAAAGTGGAGCACCTCCAGCCGCCCCCCCATCAGCTGCTTCACGTTCTCCAGGCCGCTGTACACGACGTGGCGCAGACCCAGGCGCTTCGACAGGTCAGCAAGTCGCTGTCCCTGGGTGAAGGGTGAAGCCGGCCATGAAGAGGGGAATGGGATGTACAGGGGCTCTCATTGTCCCCCCCCCACTTCCCTGCTGTTGCACTGGGCAGGATCCGACATGCTGAGCAAACCCCACAGCTGGAACCAGGGCTGGGCAGACCCAGCGAGCCCTGCGAGTTGCCCAGGTGAAGAGGAGTCCTCTGCTTACGCCATCCTACATTAGAAATGTCACACCCTCTCCAGCTCTGGTGCTAGCTCCTCTGCCAAGCACACAAACACCAGCCCTAAAGATCTGCCAGGCCCAGCATACCTGCCCTAACACACCTTATCTTTTGTTCGCTGCCATCCAGGTGTGGCCAACATGCCACCTTACGAAATCTGCTCTGGGGTGAACACCGCCCTTGGGGAAGGCCCTGGCATTTCTGATACACGTTTGGCCCCACAGCTGCAAGTGCAGGACCGCAGGCAGCCCTGGCTCAGCCCCTGGAGGCTCTGTGGAGCCCAGTCTTCCCACTCCTGCTCCTGAGCAGTGCTCTCCTCCACACCAAGTCTCGTGGCATTTAAAAACTTCCTGAAGGCACCAAATCCTGGAGCCCTGGGGGAACAGGGAACAAGTTCTGGCTTTGCAAGAACTGGGACCTGGTTTGTTTATAAGGTCTCAGGACTTTTCTGGACTGGCCACTTGAACTGTCAGGTCTGTCATGGCTGCACGACCCCAGTGCCACATAGCTGTCCCTTGATCCCCCCTCCCGGCCATTCCGCACGTGGTCCCAGTTAAAGCAAGCACCGGTACCTGCGCGATTTCCTTCTCTTTGCTGCAGTGCTCCCAGAAGTTGGTCACAACAAAGGCTCCATAAGCACCCGCCAAGGCCAGCTCCAGCGATGGCTCATCGTCCTGATCCGCCTTCACGACCTCAGCTCCCCTCTGCTTCAGCTCCTTGGCCTCCTTCTTCGTGGGGCTCCTCGTCACCGCACGGACCCTGAAGGTCCCATCTTCCAGCAGAGCCCGGGCCACGCAGCCCCCCTGAGCCCCTGGGCGTGCAGAGCCGTTCAGAGCCATGCGGAGCCCCGACACCGCACGGGGCTCTGCTGCTAACGGGAGCTGGGACGAGCCGCGGCCGTGAGACAGAGCTGCCTGACCCCGCGCCCGCCCTGGGGCACAAGGACCAGTCCCTCATCCCCAGGCCCCTGCCAGCGCCACTGCCCCTCCCCTGTGCGGCTGCTCACAGAATCATCTGGGTTGGAAAAGCCCTTGAAGCTCCTCCAGTCCAACCATGAACCCCACACTGACTGTTCCCAACTCCACCAGATCCCTCAGCGCTGGGTCAACCCGACTCTTCAACCCCTCCAGGGATGGGGACTCCCCCCTGCCCTGGGCAGCCCATTCCAACGCCCAACAACCCCTTCTGCAAAGAAATCCTTCCT